ATTTATCCTGTTAGTCCTATAGGGCCAGGTTTCATATCCATGTGCTGATGACTTAAAAAATAGACATACTGTGAGTGCAGTATGCTGCTCTCATCTGGCTCTTAAGCATAGTGTTTTCTATTTCCTTTAATTTTAAATCCTGATCTTGTTCTTAATACAGAAGAGTATCAAAGTCTCAACATTTTAGTGTTGCTAAAAGTCCCTTTTTCCCCCAGTGGTGTAGGTGTGCTTTGGCTGTTTTATTTCTATGTCCTGGCACTCTGTGATGCAATCCACGTATCCCATAAATTCCCATAGGAGAGATGCTTCAGGAGAGCCTCCAGTCACCCTGGTGTGAATCACAAATGACAAGTACGTGAAGCCTGTCACTGAGCCTTTGCTGGTGGGCACTCTGCTGAGCACACTGCTGTGTTCAGGGAATATCAGGATGCCAAGTTGGTCTCCATCAGTCAGTATGAGTTGCAGACTTCTTAAAAATAAGCATATAAGTTTGATCATATCCAGAAATCATAATTCCAGAGGTTTTTTTGTATGTTTATTTCATGTTTTCCCTATATGTCACACATTTGCTTGGCAAATATTGCTTATTAAAGAAAAATTGCCCTTTGATTTTATCCATACACAGTATTTTCAGAGACCAAAGGGCAGTTAAGAGCCCAATGCCCATGAACTGTCACCTGGAGTTAGGCACCTAGTTGCCTTTTCTGTGATTGAAAATCTCACCCATAAATGTTAGATAATATTGGTTCCATGGCTTACTGTTTTCTAGTATTTTGGATGAACTTTATGTAGAGAGGGGCCCAAACAACACACCAGATTTAGACAAATATGACGGGGCCCAAACAACACACCAGATTTAGACATGCACCCAGCCTCCAAATATGACTTAGTGCACAATCCATTAAAAAAGCCAAATTAACAGCAGATTCTGGTGATAATGGAGAAGTCTACATTTTAGAATAACCTTTTTGTTGGTCTTCGTGTAACATGCAGCAAACTTAAGAAAAGGAGAATTTAGCATTAGTGGAGAATCAGAGGACAGAATTTAACCCATTGGTTTTAACTGTTTAACACTGTAAGTATTCAGTGTTCTAGGATGTTCAGTTTTCATGGTTGGCTGCCAGTGACACTCCCATGGGCAAAAACAAGAAGTCGTCCTTTGGCACTTTAAAGACTAACAAATTTATTTTGACATAAGCTTTTGTGGGTCGGAACTCGCTTTGTCAGATGCCACAGGACTCCACTTTGTTTTTGCTGAAACATTTACATGGCCACCCCTCTGAAACTCATTTCCATGGGCAAGTGCTTCACAAGTAAAATTAGCAACTGCAAAATGCTCCTGCAACAAATGTGTGGGGGGCGCACATTTTGCCTTTGCCCCGGGGTGCATAACACCCTTGCTACGCCACTGACATGTAGTTCCATCTATAACAAGGGAATTAACAGTCCAGGAAACTACAGACCAGTCAGCTTAACTTCTGTGCCAGGGAAGATAATGGAGCAAATAATTAAGGACTCCATCTGCAAACATCTGGAAGATAAGGTGATCAGGAACAGCCAGCACGGATTTGTAAAAACCAAATCACGTCAAACCAATCTGATAGCTGTAATAGGGTATCAAGTCTCCCCACCAGTGGTTGGGCTGGAGTGTCTCCTCCATCCCCAGGCAGGGCTGCTCCAGCCCAGCCAGAGCAGCCCCTGTTGCAGAGCTGTGTTTTAAATGTGCAGTTTTCGTCTTTAGCCTAACAGAATGGCCTGTCCATCATAACCACTGTCTTCACCTTGTGTTGAGGTGTAGCCTCATGTGGTGTCATTCTTCATTGCTATAGAAATATTTGTGTTCTCACTAGTCATGACCCATGTAAGTGGGAGCACTGGAAGAGGAGAGAGGAATTTTTCACAAATAAGCCATTACCTTCAGGGAAAATACCTTGAAGTTAAGCTAGGTCATTAACATGAGATGATTATTATATGCCTGGTATTTAACTGTGTGTTCACAAACATTGACTCTGCTTGAAATCTTGCATTTTAAAGCTGCACAACAAAGCCCTGTAGCATATGTAAATACTCAGGCAGTTTGCAATTAAGGTGTTGTAGCACAGCTGCTGAGCATGAATTCCACTAGCTGGTTTGTATTCTAATAACTTTTTGTTTGTTTTTTGTCTTGGCCAGTCATTATCACCCAGTCCCTGCAGTTGAATTGGGGCTTTACGGCACTGCCACAGACCTTGTTCAGCAAGAGCAGGCGTACGTTCTGCAACGAAGTGATGCCCATGTAGCCTGTTGAGGGTGCTATGGTGTTTGGAACCTGGCAGGTTCTAGGAACAGGCAACAAGTGATTCCCACTGCATTTAAACATGATCTTAGTTGGGAAAAACTCAGCTGTATTCAGAATCCATGTTTACGTTTGTTTGACTACGGAAAGGCAGTGTTGTCCAGTGGGTATAGCATGAAACTAGGGAAACCTGGCTCTAGTCCCAGCCTTGTCACTGACTTCTTAACCTGCTGGCAAAGTCATGTGACCTCTGTGCAATTCTGTGTTGCCCGCCTACCTTCCTTCTGTACAGTGGAGGGAACGGTGCTTAGAAGTCCTACACATCAGATGCATATGGGTTGAGCTGTCCCAAAAAGACATCGCTCCCTGATGGAGAACAGCCAGCAATGTTCCTATATGAATGGGGGAGGGGGCTTCAGCCCTCCCACCCTCTCTAATGTGTGTCTGGGGGGGTGGAGGCTCAGGCAGTCCCAGAAGGGAGAGAATGGAGTGCTTCCAGCCAAACCCTTTCATGTGCCTGATTGTCACTTTTCTGTATGATTTTATGAGAAGCAATCCCATTCCAGGCACATCCCATTTTCCTAGTGCAACCAAACCCTTAAGTTGCTTAAAGTTATAAGAGGAACATAAGAACAGCCATACTGGATCAGACCAAAGGTCCATCTAGCCCAGGATCCTGTCTTCTAACATTGTCCAGTGCCAGGTGCCCCAGAGGGAGTGAACAGAACAGGGAATCAAGTGATCCCTCCCTTCACCCATTTCCAGCGTCTGACAAACAGAGGCAAGGGACACCCTTTCTACTCATCCTTGTGAATAAGTATTGATGGACCTAACCTCAGGTTAGGTTCTTTTTTGAATCCTGTTGAAGTCCTGTTCTTCACAACCTCCTCTGGCAAGGAGTTCCACAGGTTGACTGTGTTCTGCATAAGTAAATTCTTCCTTTTGTTTGTTTTAAACCTATTACCTATTAATTTCATTTGGTGACCCCCTAATTGTTATTTACTTGTTCCCATAACATAAGTTTTCTTTATTCGCTTTCTTCATACCTGTCATGATTTTACAGATCTCTATCGTATCCCCCTTTAGTCTCCTCTTTTCTAAGCTGAAAATTCCCAGTCTTTTTAAACTCTCTTCTTATGGTACCCGTTCCAACTCCCTAACAATTTTTGTTGCCCTTTTCTGAATCTTTGCCAATGCTGAGATTTTTGTGAGACGAGACAACCACGTAGGTACACAGTATTCAAGATATAGCATACCATGGAGGAAGCAATATATCAAATTTGGTGATCCCAGCTCTTACTGTTTAGGAGAAGTTCTTGAACAAAGACAGACACACAGACAGAAACACAAACTCTGTCAAATATATAGTAGATTTACCAAATGGTGATTGGATACTGTGGCACTTTGGAAATGTTTATTCAATAAATAAGCAGGTTTCCGGGGCTATGTCTAAACTACATCCCTCTGTTGACAGAGGGATGTAAATTAGACGTTTCAAAAGTGCAAATGAACTAGGGATTTAAATATCCTGTGCTTCATTTGCATAATCACGTCATGGCACGGTTTCAAGCAAGTGCCATTTTGAAACTGAAACCGCGGTTTAGATGTGGTTTTTTCGACAAGGCGCTTTTTCGAAAAATCCTGTACTCAAAAAATTGCTATGATGTGATTATGCAAATGAAGCCTGGGATATTTAAATCCCTGCTTCATTTGCACTTTTGAAACATCTAATTTACATCCTTCTGCTGACAGAGGGGTGTAGTTTAGATGTAGCCCAGGAGAAAAAGTAGCAGGCAGCAGATCTCTCTCTAGCGCCGACCAACCACCAGAGCCAAAATTTCCAGGGCCCATGGGACTGGAATAAGAAAGGGGTGGGGACGTGCTGCAGTCACTGCTTTCCTAGAAAGTGCAGTTTGCTGCATTCCTCAGTTTGGCTGGGGAGTGCAGGGAGCAAACAAACCTGGACATGCCTCTCTCTGGCTGTGCCCACTGGAGCTGCAGTGGCCATGGAGAGGCACTTCTTATCTGACTCTAAGCTGCTATGGTGAGAGAGGGCTCCCTGGGGCAGCCTGTATACTGAACCCTCATTCCCAGCCCCCACCATAGCAATGATTCAAATGATTTTTCATTTTTATTTTCTGAAACCCCAAAATTAGTTGAGTTAAGGACTCGAGCAACACCAGGTAAATCTTCTAATAAAACAAATATTAAAGATCCAGTTTACAGATGTAAACCTGTGTGAATAGACAAACACATTCATAGTATTGTGCAGGCTTACAAAATGCAGAAGATGGAAAAATAGTTAATTGAACTGAACCTTAAATATTAATTATAAATATATTTATATTGAATTTTATTCAAAAGTTACCATCTATCTAGACTTGTGTATAAAATATTTACTACAAGGAGAGGGGGAAAAATTATTTTTAGTTAAGATCTTAACTTTTTCGTGGAAGTTTCCTCATGTCATTGACTTGGACAACTAACATAAGGCAGAGTTTGCAGGATTGTACCCTCCATATATAAACAAATATCTGCTAATCTTTCTAGATGAAGTGATATACTGAAAACACTGTGTTGCACTTTGAATAGACATTCTTGGTGCATATTCTGTTCTCTTTTGTTTAATTAGCGGCAATAGAAAGGTACTGTCTTACTTTATGGAAAACCAAATATAATTCTAATTGGGATTGTTTCCTTTGTCTTTATACCTTTTTGTTTTTAGGTTTTGAACTTGGCTTTGCCATGGCAAGTCCCAATGCTCTGGTGTGCTGGGAAGCGCAGTTTGGCGACTTCCACAACACTGCTCAGTGCATAATAGACCAATTTATCAGCTCAGGACAGGCTAAGTGGGTTCGTCACAATGGGATTGTGCTGCTTTTGCCACATGGAATGGAAGGAATGGTAAGACTTTCACTGGAACAATAAACGTGCATTGGTATGAAGTGTTAGAATAAAAATGATAGAGCCTTTTATTGTTCCCTTTTTGCAGCATACATATGCAGTTTCAGCATCATATGATTATTTCCATAAAAATTAAGTATACTGCTGACCTGTTAGACTATTCCTCTTTCTCAACAATGTTTTTGCAGTGATTGGTCTTGACAGTTGGTCAGAAATGAGAAGAAAATATTTCAGTGACCTCCTCTGAAGGGGTTATTTGCAGTGGTGTCTGCCATTGTTCCCTTACCGTTGGAAAGACTGACTTGGTCAATACAATGTGCATTGACGAAAAAAATCCTTTTTTTTGCATTAGAGATTTGTGATTATGAAAAATTGTAATTTAAAATGCGAAGTTCCTATAAAGAGCAAAGTATAAAGGAGGCAGCTTAGGATTCCCAGGTATAGTTAAGATTTCACAGCACTTGCTTTGCTTTATTTTATGGTGACATGAAACAAACCTTGGATTTTCAGATCCATGCGTTTACCAGTATAAACTTTACTTTTTAAGCTAAAACATTGTTTCATGAGGGTTTTAAGCAGCTTTCAGATGAATACATTTAAAAAAAATGGATGATGATTTGAGTAACTTGTGAGAAATAAGAAATCTGCTCTTTCAGGGAAAGAAGCCCTTTGAATGGCTGCTTACTTCTCTCATCAGAAACAGTGAGCTAGCCGCAAAAGGTCTGGAACCAGATCAGCATAAAATCTGCATGAAACTCTTTTCTGTGTTCCAAACTTGGAGCAGTAGGATCATTCTAGGCATCCCTTAAAATATTTTTAAAAGCGATATCAGCATTCTGCCCTGAGCTGCTAGAAATAGTTATTCCCTTTTAGAATTCACTGACAGCATATTTTGAAAAGTCTGAGGGGTAGCCACGTTAGTCTGTAACTGAAAAAACGTAAACAACAATGGTCTTGTAGCACCTTAGAGACTAACAAAAATATATAAATAGTATCATGAGCTTTGGTGGGCACAACCCACTTCTTTTATATATTTTTGTTAGTCTCTAAGGCGGTGTTTCTTAAACTGTGTTCTGCGGCACAGTTCCGTGAGGCAGTCGGAGGTGTGCCGCAGAGAACAGAGTTCAAAAATCCTTGATGTTCCGCATAAAAAAAAATTGTTTGGTGTTCCTCGGTCTTAAAAAGTTCAAGAAACACTGTTCTAAGGTGCTATAGGACCATTGTTGTTTAAAATTATACTTTAAGAAACTCTTAATATATGTTTAGAGTGTTTCTTTTGACAAATACATGCTATCATGATACTGATGTGCTTGCCATAGCTGTATATGTTCACTTTCCGTCATTTTAAGTGGACATAAAAGCATTTCTTGTTCCCATTCTGTTTCTATACATTTAATTCCATGCCATTATAATATTTCCTGACACACTACTGTTTGTTCATACCCAGTGGGTGATTTTTCTCTGTGAAGAATGTGTGATATGCCGCCAGCTAATGTATTCTGTACATGTCCTGTTGGACAGGGGGTCCAGAACCGCCTCCACATCAGCAAATGGCAGTCTTGTTAGACTTTCAGCAAAGAAATTCAAACAGGCAATGAGTGGGGTCTGTGTGAGGATTAACACCAAAGCTGTGGGTATGTTTTGGAGGTGAGGTAGGGCGAAGCTTGTGTTTTTGCTGTCTCCTCTGCAGAAACCTCTGTTTCTGGCACAGTGAAATCAGCATGCTTATTGGCCGTTTTATTTTAAACGCTTTAAAATGTTTTTATAATAGGAGGAGGTTGAAATGTGTGTATTTAAGAATTATGATTTACAGCACATGACTAGATTGCAACAGAAATGATACTAACAATACTAGAGTGTCAGACATGCCAGAACAGTGTGGCTTTGCTTTGTGGTTTTCATATCCTTGCCACTCATGAGGAGATAAGTTTGCACCACAAAACTGAGCCCAGTTTGCAAGAAAACAGTTATACAGGACACATTCATGCTGGCAGCTTCATTTTCATGCTCCTTTTGTGCAAAGGGGAGATAGTGAGTGGTTTTAGGGTTTTTGTTTAAGGGCTTGCTAAACCAGTACCATAGGGAGTAGTCATGAAATACATGTTACTACACTGTCCCCTGTTCTTTTACCAAGTTTCTAAGTTACTTGTGCTAGAAATCACTATGACGTTCCCAGAAATTTGGCATTGTGACTTCAGTGCAGTAACGAACAGAAGGTGGTACGTAAAGGAAGGGAGCCCCTGTTCGTAAATGGAATTAACTAACATGCAAGCCATGAGGAACAGATGAAAGGTTAAATGCAGTTACATCTTTAAGATGAGATACCTCATAGTTGTTTTCTCTGGTAGGAAAGTCCTTTGTTATCATAAATATTTGTCTCCCTTACAATGACACCCTGCATCAGCAATAAATACAACCACATTCTTTTGTTGATTTGCAATTAACTTTCCAACCTTATTAATAAGGGAGACAAGTGGGAGTCAGAAGACAGTAGGTTCTGTTCTGTTCTGTTCCCTACCGCTGACTTACTCTGTTACCTGTGTTCCTCATTCCCTGGTGTAAAATGGTGGCCAGTAATGCATAATGCAAAATTCCTATAAGAAGGTCTTAAGGAGTATTTGGCTTAGATTGAGTACATTTTAACTGGAATATCTAACATGGGTTAGCAATGATTCTGCAGGGAGCTGGTCAAAGTACATATACCATCTAGAACAGCTTGATGTATGTAAAGCTGGTGTGCTAGTGGGAGAAGGGAGTGTCTCCTCTGCACACACTCATGTTGTAGGGTAGGAGCCACGTAGTGCTCAAGACATAGCTAAGCGGGGGATCCAACTTCTGCTGTAGCAGATGCTCCATGGTCCCACGTATGAGACACCTCTTGGCTTGTGACTCTGTGATGCTTATTATTAAACGGTCACAGATTTGTGCTTCACCACTATCCTCATCTTGCACCATTCTGTGCTGGATTGGCAGGATGGTTAACTGCCCCAGGCACGGCTGTCTTGCACCACCTTGCACAACCACATTGTCAGTGTAACCTTTAATTAGTGGAAGTGACATGGAAGTTCTATGTAACCCCTCTCCATCTGATCAAGATCACAACCTCTTTATTCAGGGGCACCATCATCTTACCCTCTTCAAAGCTCTCCCTCTTCTCTCATTGCCATTGTTCCAGCACTTCCCCTTTGACTGGTTGAGCACCTTGTATTGATGCTGCTCCATGGTGATTAGGCTGGCAGGAAGCACTTGTGCAGTGAGTGATCTAGAAAGACAACTAAACTGTTGTTGGTTTTGTTTTTAAATGATGTGATTACCAGGGCCCAGAGCATTCTTCAGCAAGGCCGGAGAGGTTTCTGCAGATGAGCAATGATGATTCCGATGCATATCCAGTAAGTAGATTTGTCAAAACAATGTCCTTTTTCCTGCTCTTAGCTTTTCAGAGATGTATTTTAAACTGGGTTTTGCTGGGATTATTAGTTGAGAAATAATTTTAGTGCCACCAAACAGCACTTGGATATTTTCCTGCAGGTTTCAAAGTAGCCTTTGAAGACAGCTGGTGTCTTTTTAATATTTAGTTCAAGAATTTGCTGTAACTTTCAGCTCATTTGGAGAGAAATAGTAAAGGTGTTTAGTCTGCACTTCATTTCATTGTTGAAGTCAGATGCAATTTATCTCTGACAATATTCTCTTTATGACTGTTCCTAAGGCACAGAAACTCTTCCAGTTTATATGGCTGAATGTATCACAAGCAGGCGTCTGTAACACATTTCTAAGGCCCATCAGATGAGACTAAAAAACAGTGTTCTTCTAACAGAGTGAACTGTCCAGCCAGGAGTTGAGTGTGTATGCAGTGTAAAAATACATGCATTGAGAGTTTGTGAAGTGTTTAGGTGATCAAGCCTCAGTGGCTTTTAAAAAAATCCTATATGTTTATTACAATATTTGAATCATCTATGCGCTTTTGAAGTGGATCAAGATTTTTTTCCCTTTATACTGTAATTCTAAAGGTCAGCTAGATATTCCCCTTCACCAAGGAGGACTATTAAACATAGACTTAAAATCCAGCCCATTACAAAAAATAGGTTAAATTAGTCTTGTTTTAATAGTTTTACAATCCCATGGTCTTGATTTAAGCTTGTGCATGTGAAAGAATAGCATTTCTTGAGTAGGATGCCCAGTTCTGGTACCAGATGCCCAGACTAATGTCACATTCTCCTAGCTTCAAGATCTGTTGATCATGTGATAAGCAAACTACCCATGCCCCTGCTGCCTTAAGTGTCTTGGAGAGATACATATGAGTGACAAATACCATATTTATAGAGGGCTCAGATGCTGATCTAAAAAAGACAGTGCTGCCAGATTTTAGTCCCTGCTTATGAAGTCTGCATTTTATCTGTCTTTGAACCTTTACACACAGAGCAGGAACGTATCACATCAGAGTCGGTTAGGAGAGCTCCTGTGGTTCTGATTCAGTCAAAAGGCTGAATCACTTGCATCTAAGAAGCATCTAAGAAGATATAATGCAAGTCTCTCAAGGACTCAATACCAGGGTCTCCAAAGTCCGTGGTGAAGGCACTGAGCAGAGGCAAGGACTTGGAAGCAGACTTAAAGAAATACACCCCCAAACTCAGTCCATAAGTCAGGAGGGATTGCTGACTCTGCAGCATTGGAAGGATCTATTGAAACCAGTCCCTGAAGGTCTGTCTGGGAACATTTTGGTTCTACAGGCTCAGGAGCCCTTTCCGGAGCTTTCTACATCTGAGGCTTTTAAGGCAGCCAGAAGGCCGCTTAGTCCATCATTGCCAGCTTCCCATGCTGCTCAGGAGTCTTTCCCAATAGAAAGATTGAAAGTTCTTGCTTCCATAGTCTGGTCCAGCCCCAGAGCACAGTTCGTGTCTCATACAGTCGTGGCGCCTCTTCTATAGAGTTCCATCTTGAGGGGAGCGAGTGATCTCACTGGTACCCCATTTCCAGACTCAGAGCTGGTCTCTGGTACCAATGAGGGTCAGCTCTCCAAGGGTCTCAGGAAGAGGACTCTGAAATGAGATCACCTGTGACTTGAGCAGAGTGTACCCAGCAGTCCCAGTGGAGTGTTTGCCCAGCCACCATGGTACCAGTCGAGTACTTCCACATACCTGGGTCCAACTGTCATATCAGGAGCCCTTTTGTGCCCTGTGGGGATTTCATCCACACTGGAGAGCCTCCTTCCTCCACTCTCTTCCTGCCCTTCTACATTGGTGAGGTGCTGGGAGCCTATGCAACAAGGTCCCAATACCGTACAGGGAGAAACTGTGCTCAGGACTCTCCTGTGAAGGAATTGGAGGAGGGGCCTCCTCAGCATTTCTTAGCTGCTGCTCCTACTCTGTCACCTGATCAGGCAGTAGAGACTGAGACTACATCCCTCCTCCCCAATGCTTTCAGACTTGAAATGGGTTGCTGCAGCTCTGGATATCCAGCCAGTAGCAGTGCTGGAAAGATCTTGTAGGTTCATGGATATTTTAGCCTCTCAGGACTCCCTACAGTAGCTCTTTATATTAATGAGGTTATCGTAGAACCGGTCAAGGTTTTATGGCAGATCCCAGCTTCTCTGCCTCCCGCTGCTTAAAAGGGTGGAAAAAAGTTATGTCCTTATAACCACCTTTCTCAAGGCTGTCTCATATCTAATGGCTAATGAAAAGAGAGACATGGGGGCCTCGGCCTTTATTCTGTAAGGGAAAGAAGAAAAAACACTAGACCTGCTCAGCAGGGAACTTTATTCCACAGGAGATTTACAGCTCAGTATTGTGAACAAGCAGACTCTGCTGGATAGCTGTGATTTCAGCCCGTGCGATAAGGTCCTGAAATTCAAAGACCAGCTTCCCGATGAGGCAAAGCAGGGGTTCAGTGTTAGGGAGAAGGATGACAGATTAGTTGTTAGAACAGCATTGCAAGTAGGGATACAGCAAACAGTATGGCTTGAGCTACGGCTTCCTCCATCTCTGTGCAGTGTGCATCTTGGCTTCAGTCATCAGGTCTTCTCTTGCAGGGGCAATCATTCCAGATCTCCCTTATGAAGGCCCCTTGCTGTTCTCTGGTAGGACATGAGACTTCGTAGTCTTAAGGTCGCAAGAGTGACTATTAAGTCTCTGAAAATGTATACACTAATAGCAAAAAGAAAGTTGTTACACCCACAGCAGCCTCAGGGGGGCCAGGGTCCAAAAAGAGGAATAGACGTTACCATGCATATCATCCTCCTCTGGCCTCTTCTACAACTACCAGTTTTTCTAGGCCAGTGGTCTCCAACCTGTCGATCATGATCAGCTGGTAGATTCCTAGGAATATACGTGACTAGTCAACTACCTGATAAGCCTAGGCTTATTGTGTAGTCAGGTCACTACTCAATTAGTCGCTCCTCTCTCCCCCTCCCCTCCATTGCCTCTGTATCAGAGGCAGCAAGGGCAGGGGGAGCAGGAGCTGGTTCTGTAAGGAGTCAGCTTCAAAGTCGGATCCAGTCTCTGCAGGGGGTCAAGGGAGGCAGAGGCACTGTGTGGGAAACCACACGAGCAGGGACTGAAGCAACCATCTGCATCTCTAACTACATTTAAAAGGCAGAGGCGCAGTGTGGAACCTAGGGCAAGCTGGGACTTGAAACAGTAGAGGAAAAGGCAGAGACGCAGCTAGGATGGTAAGTGTGTGGGCCACCCTTATCGACTAATCAAAGTGTAACATCTCTAGTAGATCCTGTCACCTTTGCCAGTCGATCACAATCCTCAGGTGGCTACATCTGCCTGGCCCGGCATTGCTACTGCAAGCAGCCGGCTGGCTGTGTACAGCCGCTGAGTGCAGGCAGTCTCTGCAGCCTCTGGGAGGAGAGGGAGGCAGTTCCGTGCTACCTCTGTCCCCAGCGCTGTCCAAGCAGTTTCCATTGGCCAGGAGCCAGCCATTGGGAGGCTCTGCTTGTGGGAACTGGCAGCAGTGCAGCACATGGAGAACCTCTCCCCTACATCTTTCCTCAGCGCCCACACTCCTCATCCCATCCTGCACCCAACCTTCTGCCTCAGCCTGGAACCCTCCACCTGCACCCAGAGTGTTGGGGTGCAGGAGGGAGTGAGGGGTGCATGCTCTGAGAAAGAGTTTGCTTCCATCTGGAGCACGCTCCAGCACCCAAACTCCCTTCCAGAGCTTGCACTCCTCACTCCTACACCCTAACACACTGCCCCAGCCTGAAGCACCCTCCTGCACCCAAACTCCCTCCCAAAGCCTTCAGCCATCACTCTTCTGCACCCCTGCCCCTGCCAAATGAAAGTGAGTGAGGGTAGGGGAGAGCCAGTGAGGAGAGGATGGAGTGGGTGAGGTCTTAGGGGAGGGGTTGGGCCTCAGGAAGGGGCAGGGTAAATCCTAGATTGCCCTTCAATTCAAAAAATGATCTTGGGCTCAAAAGGGTTGAAGACCCCTGTTCTAGTCATTAATTTAGAGCTACTACTTACCAGAGAGCCAGCTTTCTCAACCCCAGGTTTTGCCAGTTACCCATCCCTTTGAAAGCTTTGATATCAGTCTCCCTATACAGTTTTCTTTAGGGACAATATTTTCCTCTGACCTCACCATTATTTCCCATCTAAAGTGGCTTCTGATTTTCATATTAACTAAGTAGTTTATTTACACACTTTTCCCCCCAAGCCCAGCTCAAGTAAAGAAAGAAAACACCATATTCTAGATCAGAGGTAGGGAACCTCAGGCCCAAGGGCCAGATTTGGCCCCTGGCTTACCTGGATCTAGCCCCAGAGGCTTGCCCCAGCCCAGCATTGAGAAGCCTGTGCTGGTGCTCCAGCCCCTATGTGGACCCACTGGTATAATGCGCAAAGGGAATGTGGGGAATGGCCGTTTTTCTCCATCTCAGTTGGGGGCCATGTTAGAGGAATTTTTGTTTTGGGGGGTTTTTTGCTTCTCACTTGTGTGCTGGCCTCCCCCCTCCCCCACCCTGCAGACTGATTTTCTGTGGGTCAGCAGACCCTGACACTCAAAAAGGTTCCCCATCCCTGCTCTAGATATTGGAAGAGCTTTGGCTTTTTACCTGCATTGGACTCGAGTGTTCAGGTCTCTGTCCTGGTTTCACACAGAGAATAGGATCATCCACTCCTCCCCCTAGAGGACTGCCCTGGATTCCCAGCTGTATTTGTTTATGCTAATGACTGGTGGATATCACATCTCCAAAAAGTGATGGCTCTCTGTCAGGTTGCAGGCAGCTTCTGTAGCTTTTCTGGCTCGTGTTCCAGCCCTGGACACTTGTAGGGTGACATTCTGGTCAGCACTCCATATGTTTGAGAGATGGCCTTGTGAGAGGCAATATCGAAGTGAAGCCAGGGTCAGACTGGTAGTCCTACAATCACTGTTCAAGCAGGAGCCCGCTTGGCATTCAAACTACTTACAAGTCAACTACAGTGAATGGATATGTGCTATCACATGAAGACCAAAACACTGTTACCAGCCTTTCTGGGAACTGTTATATTTTGAGGTGTTGCACATAGACTTTCCAGGACTCGCCCTCCTCCGCTCCCTCTGAGCCTCTCTGGTAGGAAGGAACGGAGAGGGGTTGGGGCCAGGCAGCCCTTAAGACCTGTGTGTGGTGAATATAAGGAAGAGGCTGCTCACATTGCTCCAGCAGGTACTGCTGAAGAGGAAAATCTCTAATAACTGGTACACATGCCCCTATCGTGCAATAGACCTGTGCAGCACAGTCTGAAAAGCAGCAGTTATGGGATGGTAATTAACTTTTTTCCAATGCTCTGCCTCGCTCATGCTGTGGGTAGAGGACACTCAGTCATGTGGGGATGGTGCAATCTGGTCAAAAAAGGAACTGTGAGGGAATGGAGCATACTCAGTGAGAATGGAATCCTCGTGTTTTGGCTGACATTTCATTGACTGATTTTTTTTTTTCCAAAGGTTTGTATGTTGGCAAATTCGGCAAATTTTTATAAGACTAGCATCCATTAAACAAAGGCCATCCACATACCAAGTATCAAGTCCCCATTCCACAGCATACGGGCACTTGAGCTGTTCAAAGGAAAGGTTGCTAGCATATTTTAACATACTTATTCACTCAGAAATGGCTCAACTTTTTTTGAGGGGGATGGGGAACTGAAATTAAAATAGATCAGACTGAGTCAAACACCCAGCATCGGAGCATTTAACACATACTGCTAAAGTTTGGCAAAATTATCAACAACTGAAAATAGGATCTCATAATAAGTTGTGGAAAGGCTTGATAATGGATGGCATATAACGGGATGTTCAGCGTAGGAGGTAAAATGCTGACTGTAGCAATCTCCATGATCACAGTTCATCACCTTCCTAGATGTTCTTACCAGATTTCTGTAGGCATCATATAGGCATTTTGTAGGCTATTCTAGTTCATTTCTTGTGCACCAGAATGCCTAACATATTGGCACCCCAACAAGTGGATGGGGGGCAGAGTTGGGAGGAAGGGAAAGGAGGCAGCTTTTCTGATGCCATTAATGTCTTTATTAGGAATTCAGTGCTGCAGACTTTGAAGTTTCCCAGCTCTATGAATGCAACTGGATTGTGGTGAATTGCTCAACTCCAGCCAATTACTTTCATGTCCTCAGAAGACAGATCTTGCTGCCATTCAGAAAACCTGTAAGTAGCTTAGTTGATATTGTTGCCCAATTATAAAGCTGAACCACTTGCATTCAGAGTTTTGGTTTTGTAACTTTTTTAGCACTAACGCCTGGGTGTTACTCAAATGGGTTTTGTAAATTCTATCAACTGAGGACAGTAGTTAGTAGTGCTTTAAAAGTGTGCAGGAGGCTGCAAAACAGGCTCTTATTAATGTTATCTGAAGTTATGTTGGTTTTTGTCACTCTTGCAGACACTTTGAGAAGCAAGCTTGCTCTGATATAAATCATGACATGCTGTGGTGCAGGTTTGCCCACATTTCAACTGGGGTAAATTATTTAGGATGTCACAATTCATATCTTTGCATTGCATCTGTGTTAAGGATTTGTTTTGGTTTAGCTACACTGGTTGCCAAAACCACCATGTAGACCAGGGTGGGCAATAATTTTTTGCCTGGGCCGTTCTGGAAGGGGTGGGGCTAGGATGCTTCCGGGCTTCCCCACTCAGACCATGATTGGCCTGGGAGTGGGGTAGCACATGAAGGCATGCGTAGCACTTCAAAGCACTGCACGTTCCTGGCAGGGCGGAGGAAACTTCATGTGTTTCCCCTCATCCCCAGGCTCTAATTGGCCTGGGGGTGAGGGAGCAGTAGGGCCTCCATGGGCTGGATCAACCCACTTGGTGGGGTGGATCCAGCCTGCGAAGGCCCTTTTGCCCACCCCTGATATAGACCAAGCATCAAAGCTGAAGCTGAATCCAATCTCTATATAATTAAGTTTTGGTGTGCTTGTGGTCCAGTTGATAAAGGGTTTGTGTAAGTATTTATTTCGTTTTGAGATTCATCCTCTCTAGTTCAGATTTAAGGCCAAGTTAGCACACCTCTGTAACTGCTTCTGCACTCTGTGAAGTTTTGTGCTAAGAATGAGACCCTTTCCAAAGGTAATTACCAGGAGATGCTAATGTGACTTAAGCTTTGTTCAGTGCCATCCCATTAGAATTGCATAGCACAAGTGTTTTAAGGAACCTCCATGGAAGATTCTGAGGCTATTTGAATTCTATACAATTTGGAGACTAACATTCACTCATTGGATGTATATGACCGAGAGAGAGAGAGCTGTTTATCATGAAACAAAAGTGCAAGAGATTTTTCTGATGGTTCTCTACCATAGTCCAACTCCAAAATATATAATTCACATTAATCACGTGTACCTTCAGAGAGCAATAGACATGTAGGCTGACGTTTTCAAGGGACCATAAGGAGTTGGGGAAATACAGTAGGGTTTGGGTGCCTAGTTGCCCTGGGGCTTTTTGAAAATCCCAGCCCTAGAGATTTCTAGCGTGTGATAAGACTTCCAAAGAGTATAGATTTTTGTTCACCATTGAGTTTTTTTCCAAAGCCTGTGTATTAAGAACTGTGATAGAGTACCACATAAAGTGTCCATTTGTGTGTCAAGAATACTATTGTGTGTGTATAGTAGGCAGTGGATCAAGCAGCAGCATCTGAGAGTTGTAACAATCTGTATTTTACAGCTTATTATATTTACACCCAAGTCACTGCTGAGACATCCTGAAGCGAAATCCAGTTTTGATGAAATGGTATCTGGTAGGTCAAGTTACAAATGTTGTGAATGCACAAACAGCTGTATGCAGCCCGTGTGCCAGACTGTGTATTCAGAATGCTGAGTGTCCATTCCAGAGAGAGAGAACACCTGGAGGATCTCGCGTGCACCTCTCATTGACTGATTTCCCTGGGAGTTGCTGTGCGCATGGGTGGGAGAAATCTGGCCTGGATTTTGAAACTTATTCCTGTGTCCAAGTAAATCTGCATCCAAACAATGAGTTCTTAGACTTCGGTTTCATTACATAGGGAGGCATATCTCATACCTAGCTGTTCTCTGGAAGGGGGAAGGAGTGTTTCTCTCTCTGCAGGGCTCTTCTCATCGCAAGGCTGTAGGGATCCACTTTCCTACTTTTTAAATGAAGGCCTTTTGTTGTCTTTAACAATTCCATGCTTTTAAATCATTCCCCTTCGCTTCGCTTCCCAGGATTGGTTCTGGTTCCACTGACTTGTCATTTCCTTACACTCCCAGTTCTGGACCTGTCTTATCCCACTGCTAAACTAAAGCAAGAGCCTAACCAGGAAAAGGGAGGTGTTAAGTCAGTGCTTGGCAGCCTGAAGCTTTTCTCTCTGTGCTATCCCATGCTGGGAGGCAGTGGCAGCTGGTGGTGACAAGCCCCCTGTTGCACAGCCAGGAAAAAAGGAGAGAGGTGGTGAACTTGCCAGCTAATATTTAGGGAGAGGTGCACAACAGCTGAGTCTTCAGGAGGTGTAAACAAAAGAACAAGGCCCTTTGCTCTGCCTTAAGATGGACTCCTTGGGCACATTGGTATTCTAACTTTGTAGGTAAAGAAAGAATTATTGGTCGATTTCCATCTCCTTGGAGCTTAGGCTTAGGAACTTTCTGTTCCATTCTCTTCTTTTTGAGGAGATTGTTGCTAGGAAAAAACAGTGCGTCCTTTGTGTGAATGCAGTGCTGATCATGAAAGGGATTTTCCTGGATTTGATTGTGTTGTAGCACATAGAATTAGTCATTCTGGAAACCTCACACTAATGAAATTTAGGATTAATTAATAATCATGGTCTGGTCCCTTTATATGCTGTCCACTCTTAATTTATTTCTTGGGCTTCCCATCTATTCTACAGTAGTAGCCAAAGCTCCAAGTTAATTGCTAATGGAGATGTACATTTGTTACTGCTTTACATGGCTTTCTTTTATATCAGTGAAAGCTAAGAAGTCCAGCTGACCCAATAAGCACTAATTCTGAATTCTATTTAATGATGATCCCTAGTGCTCAGTCAGACTGGATAATTTAGACATAAATCAGGTTTTCTTTTATGCATTTCTTTCATGCCTGATTTTCTCCCTGCGATGAATGACTGACACACTTATTTTCTGGATAAGTGGGTGTGCTGTGGGTGGGTGTGGTTCAGATGTGGAGGTCATGCTGCTGTCTGCAAACTCATAGTTGGCTGATTAAAACTATTTCTATATTAATCATAGAAGGGAGCAGTTGATGAAACCTTGTTAGATAAACTAGAATTACTCTTTCTTGGATCTGGACTTCTAACACTTCTGTCATCTGAAGAATGGGCTGTGCCCACAAAAGCTCATGATACCATCTACATGTTTTGTTAGCCTTTAAGGTACTACTAGTCTATGGTTGTTTTTAGAATTACTCAGTATTGTACGTTCTAGTTTGCTGTGCCCGAAGCAAAAGAGCTTCTACCAGTTCTCTTGGGAGACCATTCCACAGGGACAATACATCCTATTGCCAGGCAGTCCTTTGTGATATGCAACCTAAATTGTATCCCAGTACTCAAAGCTATACATCTGAGTACCGTATGTATTATTCCTTTGGGTAATGGTTCAAACAGAAGGTCTTGAGCACACTAACAAAGATACAAGTTATATACTTGCTTACATAATAGTAGCTCAATTATAACCATCAGACCTTGCTATTTGAAGGTTTTTGCTAGTGCAATGACTTGTAATAAATACACAAACACATCTTTCTTGAAACCTGTTTTACTGGAATTAAAAGTGAATTTACTGCATGTACCAAGTATTCTTGCAGGCTTTCTAGAAGTTATTTACTTAATTCTTCAGCTAAGATTGCCTTAGAAATATATTTGGTAGGTGGCATGTTTACTTGTCAAAAATATGTCTAGTTCAGCAATACAGGACTATTGAACCAGCTTAACACCAAAACCCCAGGTTATAAATAAGAGACAGACCAATGATACCCTCTAACAAACCTTATTGCATTGAGTTACACTTTATTACATTGAGGTTTTTAGTGTCTTTGGAGTCTATTGCATGAAAATTGCAATCATCTATGTTATTGAGGGGATTATGGAAATTTCCAGTGGAAGGATAAATAAGAGAACAGCAGGGAGTGATCTTGGTAAATTCACTCATGTTGTAACATCCCCAGAGAAACTCCATCACATTGAAAAATCTGTGTATACTAATCCAAACTGGGGTCTCCAGGGACCAACAGACAAAAGAAGGCTTTTTGATAAATGGCCAGGGTTTAAACTGATTCAAGGCCTCCTTTTGGGTCCAGCAAATAATCAGGACCCCTGGGTCTCAATGCTTAGCAAAGGATTGACAGAATTAATCACCAACCATAGTGAGAGTGTGATCTCAGGTGAGCTGCTTATTATGTGGGTAGGTTCTGTTACCATTTTTAATACAGTTTTGCTGAATTCCTTTCCCTCTAAAATAAACAATACTACAATACTACAAATGAAAACCAAATTTCAGCCATGCACAAAATCACTCTTCATGGCTGATGTTTTGAGGATCATAAAATCATAGAATAATAGAACTGAAAGGAGCCTCAGAAGTCATCAGATCTAGCCTCCTGCACTGATGGCTGGATCGAGTACCATCTAGTCCACTGGTTCCCAACCCTTTTATACTGCGGACCGGTAAACTCATTCACAAACGTTTGGCAGACATTTTATTTGCATATTCATTATTCAAATAATAAATATACAAATAAAATATTTCTGGTCCATCAAAAACCCTGGTCCCCAGAGTCCCCCAGTATTAACTTTGTCCTCAGAACCTCCTGTGCCAGCCCCTGCATCTTAGAGTCCCCCACCCCCAGAAGTCCCTAGCACTAGCCCTGCCCCCAGTGCTTGCATGGCTCCCTTAATCTAGCCCTGCGCTGCCTGCCAGCTGATGGCTGCTGCCTGGGTCACGGCTGCTCTAAGGCTCTTCAGCATCCGGGAGGAGACCCCGCCCCGCCCAGTGCTGTTTGGCTGAGTGGCGGCGGGAGGGAAGGTGCTGGGTGGTGTACCCCAGCCCTGGCCTCCAGAGCTGCTGCAGCCCGGCAGCCAGTGGTTCGCAGCCTGGCACTTGGCCGCAGACCAGAGATTGGGAACTACTGATCTAGACCATCTCTGACAGGTGTATGGAGATTTTTAAGAGCAAATTAGAAAATGATGGCGATTCCATCACTTCCCTAGGAATATTATTCCAGTGCTTAAACACCCTGACAGAGAGGAATTTTTTCCTAGTGTCTAACCTAAACCTCTCATGCTACAATTTAAGTCCATTGCTGGTCCTATCCTTGGAGGTTAAATAGAACATATTTTCTCCTTCTTCTCTGTAACAACCTTTTATGTACCTGAAAACTATCATGTCCCCGCTCTCTTCTATTTTCCAGACTAAACAAACCCAGTTCTTTCAATCTTCCCGCATAGGTCATTTTGTATAGATCTGTAATCAATTTTGGTGTTCTTCTCTGGACCTTCTCCAATTTGTCCACATCTTTTCTGAAATGCGGTGCTCAGAACTGGACACAGTACTACAGCTGAGGCCTAATCAGCGCAGAGTAGAGAGGGAAAATGACTTCCCGTGTCTTGCTCACAACACTCCTCTTAATACATCCCAGAATATTTGCTTTTCTTTTGCAGCAGTGTCACGCTGTTGCCTCATATTTAGCTTGTGGTCCACTATGACCATTAGATCCCTTTTTTGCCGTACTCCTTTCATTTCACATTCTGTAAGTGTGCAACTGCTTGTTCCTTCCTAAGTAGAGTATTTTGCATTTGTTCTTGTTGAATTTCATCCTAATTTCATTGGACCATTTCTCTGGTTTGTCCAGATAATTTTGAGTTAGTCCTGTCTTCCAAAGCATGAGCAATCCCTAATTGGTATCATCCGCAGACTTTATAAGTGTACTCTTTCTGCCATTATTGAAATAATGAATGAAGATATTGAACAAAAACTAGTCCCAAAACTGATCCATGCAGAACCCTACTCATTATGCCCTATCAGTATGGCTGTGAACCTTTGATAACTGCTGTCTAGGAATGATTATCCAACAGGTTATGCACCCACATTATAGTAGTTCCATCTTGTATTTCCCTAGTTTATTAATATTCATACAGGATTTACCAAATGCCTTAATAAAGTCTAGATATACCACATCTACTGCTTCTCCCTTGTCTACAAGGCTTGTTATCCTGTCAAAGAAAGCTATTACCTTGGATTGACGTGATTTGTTCTTTACAGATTCATGCTGACTGTTACTTGTCACTTATTATCTTCCAGATGTTTGCAGATGGATTCCTTAATTACTTGCTTCATTATCTTTCCTGGTACAGAGGAAAGATTGGTCTGCAATTCCTTGGGTTGTCCTTAGTTCTCTTTTAATACAGTGAAGGCAGGGAACGGTATAGTCGGGAAGTACCCTGGACAGACAGTAATGAGATGAGTCTGCACTCAAGGGAGGCAATGGTTAGGGAGTAAGGAGCCTGAGAGTGGATGCTATTGCTGGATGATTGAGGGGAAATACAGGTACATTTTCCCGGAACTATGACAATGTGAGCCTGGTACCTGAGCATGACAAGAAAAATACCAGTCTCCTTCTAGTTAAGTTGTGAAGAGCTGTTTATCAGAAACCCTTTAATGGGTTCCTTCCTTCAACTGGATTGTATTTAAATAACCCTTGTCAAAACCTGGCATCTGAAAAGATCTCGGAATACAGAGGATGGGGTGATACTGCCTCATGGGCACAGAGCACTGTGACAGTTTCTCTGCAGATCAGTCAAGATGGGGCTGGCCTCAGTAGAATTTCTTGACTGAATGTTACCATCAGTAGAGGAATGCACTCTGATTTCAACTTTTGGTGTGACTAGGTACCAGTTTCAGGCGTGTGATTGCTGAAGATGGGGCTGCGGCAAAGACACCGAATGAGGTTAAACGGGTGATTTTCTGTACAGGGAAGGTATACTATGATCTCATTAAAGAGAGAAAGAGTCAAGATTTGGAGAAACAAGTGGCTATAACTAGGCTGGAGCAGGTGAGTCCCCAGAACCTTATTAAAATCTCAGACTTTGGAAAGCCATGGATTGTAACTTTTAAAGCATTTGCAGTTGCAAGGCATGATAATAATGATAAAGCTTAAATGTTAGTATGGTACATTATATCTTCCAAGACATCACCTAATCCTGAAAGGCCCTTGTGAGCTAGGAAAACTAGTCCTTTCCCATGTGTACTTTGATGACTGAGATGCTGAGAGGTTAAATGACTCGGCTGTATAGCAAATCAGTGATGGCAGAGATAGGATTAGAATTTGGTAGCTCCTAGCTCCAAGCCCCATGCTCAAAGTGTGACTTGAAAATAGTCATGTATGTCAAGAATCGCCAGCTAGTACTGCCCTCCGGTGTTCCCAAAGCATCTTTGCAAGTACTCAGTGTTACAAAACACATTGTCCTTGTAGCCTTGCAGAACAGCTCCCCGACAGGCACAGAAGAGTGTGCTATTATACTTGCTGTTCCCACTGGTAGGCAGTACCATGACACTTTCTCTTTGAATTCTGAGTGGATGTTATGTTGTAGTTACTTTATATTTATTCTGTCAGAGTTAAGTGCAATAAGTTACAAGACTGTATGGACAGGTAAGTGAATGACAATTGCAGAGCGCAATATTTGCTGGAGACAGCCTTGCTTTATGTGACATCTTTGCATGTAAAAGAGAGAATTACTATTTAGTTTCAGTGTATTTCTTTTTAGATCTCTCCATTCCCCTTTGATCTGGTAAAAGAAGAACTTGAGAAATATCCTGGCGCTGAACTGGTGTGGTGTCAGGAAGAGCACAAGAACATTGGATACTATGATTATGTCAAACCTCGTTTCCGAACCATTGTGAATCACACTCGGCCCATATGGTATGAGACTTATTTTCGTGTTCCCTTTGCAACACAGGTGTGATTGGCCTTCGAGGCTTCATACTAGTCTGATACTTTGAGATGGGGTGACACATGTCTGGAAAAGTTAAGCTCTATAGACCTTCAAGGGTCAGAGTTTGGGGATTGGGGTTTTTCATATCTCCTGTTTCACAATGTATGGTCCATATCGTACTCCTTTGCTCTGGTTGGTCTGCACATATGTTGTCCCCTAAATTGTGTGGGTCAGCACTTGAACACAACAGCAGTATGTTTAAATCCTGCCTGCCATCCTTAATAGTGAGAGCCTGGTGATCATCCCAAACCAGAGTCTCTAACCGGGACTTCATTTAAAAAGCAAAGGGGTTTATCAAGCCAACGCCCTCTTCACCATCACTGTCTGTCAGGCCCTATTTTCACTTTCATGCCTTATGGTTTTTCTTGTTTTACTTCAGCATGGACTACTTTTCCCTTCTACAAATCCCATTCCAAATTGTGCCTCTGGAGGAGACAGCCATTAACTAGAACAATATGTGAGCCACTGAGCTTCCCTCACAATTCTTTTTCCAGCTTGTTTGCTCCTAAAATACTGTAGGGATATTGGTGCAGGAGTGACCCAGATTCTGGTTCCTTCCTCCACTTCCATAAACCCAAACCTCAATAGAGCTGTTGGGCCAGGTCCTCAGCTGGTGCAATGTCCCAGCTCTGTTGAAGCCGGAAGAGCTATGCTGATCTAGACCAGCTGAAAGTCTAGACCATAACCAGAAATTGCAACAACTCTCTAATGGAGCTAGAACTGGGGGCATGGACATAAGACAGGAGAGTTTCCCCTGCTTTGCACATGTGGTCTAAAGCTGTTGTTCAGCAGTGTCTACATTGCAAGTACCCATCCTTATAAGTGTTGCTGTTCCATCTCGTCTCTCCTCACTTGTTGTCTACCCAATTGTCTCTTGTGTTAAAGGTATGTTGGCCGAGAACCAGCTGCTGCTCCTGCCACAGGTAACAAGAATGCTCACCTGGTATCGCTCAGGAGATTCCTGGACACAGCTTTCAACCTGGACGCCTTTGAAGGAAAGAAGTTCTGACTCTAAGACTTCGGCCACCCTCTCCATGCAGCGTTATCATAAAACACCACTTTCAAGGGTGTCAATAAAAGTGCATAGAAAATGTAGATTTTGATTTTTGGGTTTCTAAGGTAAAAGGCTCTGGGTAGCTCTTCCCCTCAAACGCACTGTTGGCAAATTGGGGAAGGAAGGAAGTAAAACTGACAAATGTGTGTAAAGAGAGAATCCAGATATAGGGCTGCTCATAAGGCAATAACCCTACAAAATGTTAGTGAAGGGGTGAGGAGTGAGGAAAGCATGTTAGGCTCCTGGTGCCATAGGACACCTAATTCTCACTTTAAGTTTCATTACAGCAATTCTTTTTCTAGATGATATAGTAAATTGACTCAATGGTTCCTAACATTTTTGATACTGGGGACCGGCAAACCCATTCACAAACTTTTAGTGGACTGGCAATTTGTATTTGCATATTCATTATGCAAATTATGAATGTGCAAATATGCAAATTTTAAAGCACAGCCTCCAGAACCCCCAGTGTCAGCACTAATCCCTACAGCCCCTCACCCCTCCACTATCCCCCAGCACCAGTCACTAACCAGAGTCCCTGCACTCAACCCCCCACGCCAGTCTCCTGCCCTCAGAACTCCTCTGTGCCGGCTCCCCACCCCAAACACCTCAGTGCCAGGCCCTCGTCCCTTAGAACCCCCCACCACAAGCCTCCTGTTTCCAGAGCCCAAACGCACCAAGCCCTCCAGAGCCAACCCTGCCTCTATAGCGACCCCAGCACTAGCTCTGCCCCTGGTGCCCCTAGTGCCTGCCCACCCCCTCACCTAGCCCTGTGCTTCTGCCGGCATCGCAGTGGTGCTGGGGTATACCAGCCATGGCGGGAAGGGAGGAGCTGGGTGCTGGGAGAGGCATGTCCTGCCCTGCCTCTCATCCAGCCAGCACGGGCAGGGGTGGTCCCGTCCCTGCCGTGGAAGAGCACTTTCCTGAGCGGCAGGACGGTTCAGCGCAGCCCTCCCACTGCGCAGGGAAGCACTTCTGTGGCTGGGAGGAGACCCCGCCCCTGCCCGGCCTGAGAGTTGGGGCAAGACCCGCCTCTCCCAACTGCTGCAGTGAGAGCGGTGTGCCCTAGCCCCGTCCCCCAGAGCTGCCGCAGCCCAACAGCCGGAGGTCCATGGCTTGGCAGTGGGCCACGGACCAGCAATTGGGAACCGCTGAGTTGACTGACTAACAGTGTGCTTGGCACTTCGGAGACATGATCCCCAACAGTCTCAGGAGAGAGGACATGCCCTCGATGGCCAGCAGATGAGTTCCATGGTGGAACACAGAGGGTTTGGCGTGTGTGGTGGTGGGTGTGGTAGCAGCTCTGGTGGGTTAAAGTTGAAACGATTAGTGGAAGAAATGAGTTCCAGAGCTCTGAATGAAGAGGGAGGAGAAGTGAGGAAGTTTCAAACTCATAAAGCCGCATGAAAAACCAATGACAGGCCTGGGCTCAGAAGGGAATAGTGAGGCAGGAGGCACGGAGTGAAGGAAAGAAGACTAGATGGAGAGGAGAGGTGGGCTTGAGGCTAACTGGTGGTCTGGGGTTCAAGTTCTCAGCTCTGCTGTTTACTTCTTGTGAGTGACTTGGCCCAAGGTCACACTGTTTTGCATCTGTTTCCCTTTTGTAAAATGGGAATGACGTCTCCCACGTTTTATCTATCATCTTTACGTACAGTGGTCGCTCTTTCTGGCAGGAGCTGTCTTGTTTTCCATTTGTACCCATGTGCCTCGCACAATGGGGCTACATCTTGGCTGTGGCTGGTAAACATTGTTGTAGTACATACAGCATCATCCGAGCAGGGATGTGGGCGCAAGTGTGGAGCCTCACAGAGCCTTTAAGCTGAGGACAAAAAGCTTGAACATGGAGATGAGAGAACAATTGGAAGGAAATGCGACCCTAGCAGCGCACAAGGAGGGTGATTTTAGCAGCAGCAATTTGGAACCATTGGAGGGCGATGAGGAGGGGCACAGCAAGGACATAGAGGGAAGGCTGCAGTAGGTGCCTAAGGCGACAACTGTGTTAGCTGTGGCAATTGGCTGCGGGGTTTTTAGATAATATATAGACGGCGCCAGCTTGATTTTGATGCCTCTCTCCAGAGGAGATCACCTCCTTTTGATTCCAAGGTTTTGAGGCTCAGAGGATGAGGATTCCTTTAACAGCTGTGAATTGGGAGAGAGAGAAGAGCTCAGTGTTTCGGTATTACATTGGGGCTGGTTAGTCTGGAAAGGAGAGGCGAGTTCGGGGAGGGGAGGGAAGTGGGCACTGATGCAGAGCTGACTCTGTGGGCTGATGTGAAGAACATGCAGAGGAGAGGGGCACTGGGGCCAGAACCTCAGGAAGACTGGCAGGGGGAGAAGCAGTGACTAAGCACAAAAGGATGTTTGGCAGAGCAGCTGGAGAGACCTGGGAGAACACAAGGCAGTGAAGTAGAAGACAGCGAGGGACTTGAAATGAGCGGATGATGACTGGATCCATTTCCTGGGCTGCCTGCAATTCTAAGCATCTTGGCAGCCCAAACAGGACGAAGTCTTTCTATGCAGGTTCTCTGCCTGTGGACAAACCCATATTCCACTTCACTGTCAGCATGTGGCTTTCCTGTGACCTGTGCATCGGGCTCGACCAAACTCACGGTCCATTTTAGTCACTCTCATGGCTGTAAGATTTAAAAGTCCTGAATTCCATCATTTCTGCTATTTAAAGCTGAAATTTCATGGTGTTTTAATTGTGGGGGTCCTGACCAGGGGCACAACATACTGGCTGGGGATATTCCACTTCACTGTCAGCATGTGGCTTTCCTGTGACCTGTGCATCGGGCTCGACCAAACTCACGGTCCATTTTAGTCACTCTCATGGCTGTAAGATTTAAAAGTCCTGAATTCCATCATTTCTGCTATTTAAAGCTGAAATTTCATGGTGTTTTAATTGTGGGGGTCCTGACCAGGGGCACAACATACTGGCTGGGGCCCCCGGCGCGCGGGGGCGG